CCAGCCTGTAGCTTACTAGCGTAGGTCGTGTTGTGTTGCATCGCATGTTCCAACAACTCCTAGCTGGGCATCGCTGGATTCACATATGCCCCGATTGGTCATAGCTCCAATTCCCAGTCCTGCGTAAGGAGGGAGTCTCTGCATCGGCCTCCATCCGAGCTCCGAAAGGCCCAAGTTGCGCCGCACATCAGAAGCCCGAGTGGAATTTCTAAGAGGTCCAAGCTGGTAGACATGTTCCTCCAGTCTTTCGATGCGTTTCGATTTCCGCGCTCTTCGGTCTGGGAACGGCGCCGCGACGGCCCCAAGAGAAGCCCAGACGGCCAAGAGGGCCCCCAAACGGCAGAGGGCCTCGTGAGAGCTCCCCTACGGGTGAAGACGTGAGGTATCACATGTGGGGGCCTTTCGGGCGGTGCTCGAAGGGTCGGCACACGGCGTGCTTCGCTGGCGCGTTGTCGGAGTTGCAGCAGGCACCTGGATACCGAGGTGTCCGGACAATCAGCTCAGGCGAAGTCGGCGGACATTCATAGGGGTGCCACAGGGGGCCAACCATCGCACACCTAAAACTGATTCACGACCCTTGAACGTGTCCAGGTTTGGGATGAAACGTACCGCGGCTTTTCCAGCTTTCCGAACGACGCTGGTCCCCAAAGTCTCAAAAAAACATCTGTGTAAAAAATTGCCAGCTAACGTAAGGAGAGCAGCGGTCGGCCAGTCAGGAGCTTCTTAAGGTGACCCCGGTCAACAAGACTGCAGATCGACTGGCCGATCATTTCTGGGCCCCCGCCTAAGTACCAAATGCGGAAGCCCTGTCCCTTGTAGAGCTCGAAAAGAAGGCAAAAAGAATATGACACCGGAGGAAAACACCAATCGACTTCTTTTTAGGGCTATAGGGCTATGGGGCTATTGGGCTACAGGCCGATGGGGCTATGGGCTGTAGGGCTATGGAACTATAGGGCTGTAGGGCCATAGGGCTATAGGTCTATGGAGCCCATAAGGCTATAGGGCTGTAGGGCTATAGGGCTATGGGGCTATGGGGCTCCGGGGGGGTGGGTTTATAGGGTTCTAGGGCCATAGGGCTATGAGTCTATAGGGATAAGGAGCTACAGGACTATAGGGCTTTAGGGCTACAGAAATATAGGGCTATGGGGTTATAGGGCTATGGGGCTATAAGGCTGTAAGGCTATAAGGCTATAGGGATATAGGGATATAGGGCTATTGGGCTATAGGGCTATTGGACGATTGGGCTATCGAGCTATAGGGTTATAGGTCTATGGGGCGATAGGGTTGTTGGGCTATTGGGCTATGGGGCTATAGGGCTACAGGGCTATAGGCCTATAGGGCTATTGGGCTATAGAGGCTATAGAGGCTATAGAGGCTATAGAGGCTATAGGGCTATACGGCGATTGGGCGATAGGGCTATAAGGCTATGAGGCTATAGGGCTGTAGGGCTATAGGACTGTTGGGTTATAGGGCTATAAGGCTATTGGGCTATGAGGCTATACGACTCTAAGGCTATAGGGCTGTAGGCCTGTAGGGCTATCGAGCTATAGGGCTATAGAGCTATAGGGATATGGGATATAAGGTACCCAGGTACCCGGACCCCCGGGCACCTGGGCACGCGGGCGGGCCGCGGAAATCGGTGACAAACCTTACCTAACCATATGAATCCGCTAGGACCCCTACAGAGTTGGGGAAAGACAAACAATGTTTACCATCACTGTTCGTGCCGAGGGTCCGCTCAGACGGGGCGAGACAAAATGACCCACATCGACCTTGCTGCTGCCCGTGCTGAAACCGCCTAGACCATCCATCCACACGAAGATGGACATGTTAAGAATACAGTTTGGAGCCCGTCTCGCCTCGCGGGGTAAGGGTATCAGAATTAACTGGCTGAAACAGCCGTGCCGCCCCCCTGCTGAAGTAGCCGGACCCACACGGCGCAGGGTGGTCGCACGCCCTTCGCACCGTCTGCAGTGGTTCGACGCGGGGAGGGAGGCTGGGCGTGCACGTGTTCTGGATTGCGAGATTAGAAGAACAAAAAAAAAAATGCATAAGCATAAACTGTCGGAGCTCCGAGCGGATATCTTGGATCTGCTCTGAACCCTCTTCCCTGGCGCGCGGGCGGCGCCAAGGGCGGCGCCGAAGGCGCCGCCAGGGAGCTCCAGCGCCAATCCGAGAAATCCTCGCGGACCTCCCAAAGCTTATTCCCTACCTAGGCTCTGCCTAGAAGGGTTCTTACTCTCTTGGCTTAAAGGGCCGGGCAGTGGGAAACGGCCCGGGCGGTTCCCCCAGTATCCGCCCCGCGGTTCCCCCAGTTACGTCCCCTTAGCTTAGCGTTGCTTATCTCATCTTAGCTTAGCTTATTTCATCTTAGCTTAGCTTAGCTTAATCTTAGCTCAGGTTTATATTAACTTAGCTTACCTTCATGTTAGCTTCGCTGAGATTTAGCATAGCAGAGCACAGCATAGCATAGCATAGCGTAGCATAGCATAGCGCAGCA